TGACACATTAGCAGACCGCAGATGAGTAGCTCTTTAACAGAAATCACGGGTAAATAGTTCTTTAACAGAAATCACGGGTAAATAGCTCTTTAACAGAAATCACGGGTAAATAGCTCTAACAGAAATCACGAGTAAATAGCTCTTTAACAGAAATCACGGGTAAATAGCTCTTTAACAGAAATCACGGGTAAATAGCTCTTTAACAGAAATCACGGGTAAATAGCTATTTAACAGAAATCACGGGTAAATAACTCTATAACAGAAATCACGGGTAAATAGTTCTTTAACAGAAATCACGGGTAAATAGCTCTTTAACAGAAATCACGGGTAAATAGCTCTTTAACAGAAATCACGGGTAAATAGCTCTTTAACAGAAATCACGGGTAAATAGTTGTTGCACCGCGTCCCAGGAAAACGAGAAACCTCCAAGGCCCTAACAAGTTGTTCTACATGTCAAACCTTGACCTTTATGCCGCCATATTTTGACATTGACTATAAGACATTTCTGCACCGGTCTTTGCCTGTTGGTCTCGGCGCCTCTGGAATTCAATTTTTTTCGTTTGTTGTGATCTCTGGCGGAATAACTTTCCCAGATCGTCTTATTATTTACGCATTTTAATCTCCCTGAACTCGCCCCCGCTTCGAGCAGTGGCGAATAAAAGTACTGAAAGAACCCCTTGAACACACCTCCTAGCAATAGCTGATTGTTGTACGGCGTCTCTGGTTATCAACACTTGTCAGATTTCTATGCAAACAATTGCTTTAGTCATTGAGTTTGTTTCGGTCACTCAGGTGCTTTTTCGATGCTATTTTAAGTGATATATATATATATATATATATATATATATATATATATATATATATATATATATATATATATATATATATATATATATATATATATAATATCTCTATCTTTTTTATCCACTGTTTCAGAGGTGAACCCACTATTTATCTGTGAATATATTTTAAACTATTTTTAGTTTTAGAATATTTAAAAAGACCACGTTCTATTTCTGTTCACTTTCCATTGTATTCTTTTTAAATCGCGTAGCTTGGCTATGGTAGATTAGATATAATAAACTGTTAGTAAAATGATCAATTGTTATATCTATCATCATTGAAATCGTCACCTTAGCTAGCCAGTGGCTCGCTCAACACATTCATTGAGGGTATTTACCTGTTAAGATGCAGACAGAAAATATTTTATACTTGGAAAGAGATCACACTAAACTTATTTAGGTCTCTTATCCACATTATAATTAGGTCTTAGTATCAACATAATTAGGACTTATCCTCACCTTAATTATGTCTTATCAACACCATAATTAGGACTTATCATAGCCACAATTAGGTATTATCCTCATCGTAATTAGTTCCTATCCTTACTCTAATTTGGTATTGTCCTCATCTTAATTAGGTCTTATCCGCGCCATAAGTATAACCTATCCGCACCGTAATTTTGACTTAACCTCACCATAATTAGTTCTTATTCTCGCCATAATTAGGTCTTTCCCTCGCCATAATTAGGTCTTTCCCTCGCCATAATTAGGACATATCCTCTCCATAATTAGGACCTATCCTCGCCATAATTAGGACCTACCCTCGCCATAATTAGGATCTACCCTCGCCATAATTAGGACTTATCCTCGCCATAGTTATCTGTCTCCGCCTCAACAAAAACATACAACATAAAGTATATTGATTAGAGTGGACTACGAAATAGAAGCCTACTGCTATCACTCAACGCATTCTTTGCATAAAAAGGGGCTCACGTGTAGCAGCCAACACGTAGAGGTGTTGTTGGTTTTTGTTAAAGATTTAACCCCCCCCCCCTTTTTTTTTTTTTTTAAAGTGTGATATATAACAGGTGTAGCAGCCGAGACTAATGGCAACATGTGGCATGTTCGAGTGTTGAACAAATCCATTCCTTGATTGCTCTCCAATTTGACCGCTCATCTGCTCGTATTTCAAACACGGCATTGCTAACATTCTTCGCTGGCTGCTGTTTTTTTCTCTCTCTCCCCGTTTTACTGCTAGTTCTCGAGTTTCACGTCTTTCATCTTTCTCTACATCGCCCGTCTCCGCAGCCTGATACAATTATTTTATCTCGTCTTTTGTTATGTGCGGATTGTGACAAACTATAAACATTAGTTTCAGCCAGTCTTTAGGCGGCATTAGGCCTATCAGTGCTTAATTTGTAAATGATAATATTTGGATGAAATAATTTTTTTTGACGGCAGTAATACCTACAAAGTGTTGATTTGTAAATGATAGCATTTTGATGACATCGTTTTTAGGCGGCAGTAGGGCCTATCAATGGTTGATTTGTAAATGATGAAATCATTTTTAGGCGGCAATAGTAATGGTTAATAATAACATTTGGATGACATCGTTTTTAGGCGAAAGTAGCAATGTTTGATTTGTAAATGAGAACGTGATGCAATCGTTTTCTAAATGACAAATTCACAATGACATTCATTGCATACACTTACTCATCTATTACAGTAAGGTTAGCTACTAGGACCTTTGCCTTGAAGCTGTTTTGATCAGTTGAAAAACCTTTTTTTACTTGCTAAACCTTTCTTATTCTGATTTTTTTTTCTGTTTGTTTTTTAACCCCCCAAAGAGTAATATCTTATTTTTGTTGCAGAATTCTAGCAGGCTGTCCTTTTCAGTTGTCTGTAGGTCGTGAGCTGCCAATTTGTCAAGACCCACAGGATGCCCTTGTAGAAAGTGCTAAAGATATCCTAGTTTGTTACCATCTGTTTAGCTGGGAGCTATGACAATAAACCCAGCATAGCTTTCAGCCAGGCATTAAATACACAGGCATAGCTCAGCCCAAGTGTGGCTCATCCATGGCTGCAGCTAGCTGACATGTGCATGGCTCACACAGTAGCCAGAGAGACAGATAACATAGTCTAGTGTAGATTTCTTCTACCAGCAGTTATTGCCCTTTATGCAGCTTTACAGGGATTCAATTCAATGGACAAATTTCTTGAAATGAAGATTATGTCTTGTAGCCTGCTCACAGTAACTAACTGGACTTGACTCTATAACATGTTTTATTAATCCAATACATATTTTACATTTTATGTTACAGACATTTTTTTTATTTTAAATTTAGTTCTTTTTTTATAAAGAAGTGAAACATTTGTATATATTTGTTTCACTAACAAAAACATTTTTTTAGTTTATGAAAAGTTTATTCTCTGTCATAAAATTTTTAATAGCTTTGATTGGTAGCTGCATCATAAATTTTTCAGTAATGAAGTGGTAACCTTACAATGCAACAAACTCCTCAATTCCAGAATTTTGGCATCCTTTGCTTTCCATCTCTCTACCAACTGGGAGCTTCCAAGAAAGAGGTTTCGCTACCGCACTGACCTGAAAGAGGGTGTTTGTGATATGCTTATCCAGCACCACCTTTTCAGCTGGGACCTTTAATGTGAATATACAACCCTCTTGCTGTTTTCTTCCTTGCTAGGGGCTTCTACTCTGAGAGTCTAGGGTTGTGCCCCTTCTTGTAGTACGGTTTAAGTGTTGGGTCTGATTCAGATTGGTTTAAATAGTGCTTGTAGATGGATTTTCAACTTTTTAGGGTGACTCAGCCTTGTTTTTTTTTCTTTTTAAACTTTTTTCATTGCCTCTTTTTAAAATCTGGTGATTGGTCTGTAGTAAAATATTTTTGTAAAATAAATTGTAATATTATCTTTGTGGAATTATGTTTACATTTTCTAACTTCTTAATGAGACATTCTCGAGAGATATAAATTATAATTAACTGTTTTATAATCTGATCCTGATTTTTAAAAATAATTTGTCATTCATACAAATGGAATATTATGTTAGTGTCACATCCTCTAATTCATTTTCAGCATTGTCAAAAATGTGACTTAACCTGTGGCATGATTGATCAGATCTAGACTTACCTATTTACAATTATTGTGCCAAAAAAAGAAAGATCCAATCTTACTATCTTAATGTTGTCAGCATGTTTTTATAGATTAAGTAGCTTTGTACTATTTTAATTTTCATAGCTGGCTTTAGTTGTATAACTGCTGGTCACAATTTGCTTATAGAACTGCTATTTTGGTTGGTTTTTCTTTTTAGTATGCTTTTTTTATAATTGGTTTATTAATGGTGTACGCTTTGTTGTGTTGCATTGTGATTGGTAACATTTAATTAGCTATTTTTGTACATGTACATATTTTTTCATCTTAAATTAGATATTTACAATTTTATTGTAATATATTGATGTGTATAAAAATTTATATCTACTTCATTTACTTCTATTTATAATTTATTCATAATTTTATGATATTTATTAGGTGTTTAAACTTTATTGTAATATTTTGTTTGAAATTTTTTAATATATTGTTTACTTCAACTCATTATATAATAATTTAATTAGGTAGAATACAGGTAGTATGTTTTTCATTTGAAGCATGTGTAGTTTTTATCGGTTGTGGATTTGTGTTATTTTAATATTTATCGATGGCAGAGTGTTGGTATGGGTTATGTGGAGATATGTCTAGAAAATGCTCTTTATAAATATATATGGGGTGGGTGGGGAGACTTAGCAAAATCTGTTCCAAGTGCCAAATTTATGTAGCCATCTCATTATGTTGTTGTTGTTCCATTGGGTTTACATGGCACATTAAAGTATAAATGTAATATAGTAGCTTAGAGATAATGACCTGCTATTTCCTAGATACAGATACAAATATATAACATCTTTTGTAAATGGTAAAACATTATATGTGGCTAGTATTGTACAAGTTTGAGAATCATAAAAATGTATGTGTTAAATGTATAGCCATCTCTCTCATACCTGATGATTTCTAGAATGTTAGGCCAGCTAATGTGTTCCTTAGTATGCTGCAAGATGTGGCAGTTTGATTCAGTTTGAGATGGCTTGAGGCTTTTAGTGTAGATCTGTAAGATCATATGGGTGTGGGTGTGTCTAGTTAAACTGCAGGCTTGTCTAAACCTTTACAGGCTGCTGAGCCAGTTCTCCTTCAGCCTGTCCAGGGACTGGGAGCTACCAAGGCAAATGGATTCATTCAGGCCATTCAAAGAGGGTGTCAAGGACATGCTAGTGAAGCACCATCTGTTTAGCTGGGATTTGTGAGCTAGGGGACACAGTCCAGTGAGACACACGTCATGCTGGTCCATGGGCAGGAGGTAGTAGTGTGCTACAGACACAATCAAGAGACACAGTTTTGTAATCTGTGAACCAGACACACACAGTTGTTAGCCTGTGGTGTACAGACAGCTCTATATATGTGGTCCATAGACACATTTACAATGTTCTCTGGTCCACAGACACATTTGTGTTGGTCTGTGGCCCACAGACACAAGTGTATGTAGTCAACAGTTACATTGTTCTGTGGTCCACAGACACAAGTGTATGTCTGTAGTCAAGTTACATTGTTCTGTGGCCCACAGACACATTTGTGTTGGTCTGTGGTCCACAGACGTTGGTCTGTGGCCCACAGACACATCTGTGTTGGTCCATGGACCCAAGGATCTCTTGTTGCATTCATGGTAGCTAGGCAGGCAAAAATTAGTTATTTGTAACTTTGTAATTCCTCTGGCTCAACTTAGTAAAAAAAACTTCTAGTTATTTCAGAACAGTTGTTTTTTTTTAACTAATGAATGAATACTAAAAATAACACACTTAATTTAATGTTCAAAATCTTTTATCAATATTTTTACTGTAAAGGTTTTGACAAATGAAATTTTTATCAACTTTGTTGCTTTAAAAACATATTAGAATAATGTATTGTTAACAACTGCATAATTCCTGGGTATAAATTAATCTGCCATTGTATTGGTCGGTGACATGTAAACATTAGGTTACTACGACATCTTGTAGTTACACCAGATGTCCAGGGTGAATTCTTGTTATAAATGTTATGTTGTGCAATAAACAAACAGGCTGTGCAAGAATCGTATTGAATTATGTTGATCATTAGCCTGCTGTTGGTACAGGCACTGTGGTAGCTTAAATATGTATGTGCATGGAGCACTTGCTTCAGTAATTAACATACACTTTAGTTAGAGGTTAATTATTTTTAACAACTTTTTGGACAGATCAAACAATGATTTGACAGATCAGGGTATGTACTCCATGACAATAATTAACCATTGACAAAAGTGGTTAGACATTATCTATTCCATGACAAGTACAAACTGTTCCAACAATGATTTGACAGATCAGGGTATGTACTCCATGACAATAATTAACCATTGACAAAAGTGGTTAGACATTATCTATTCCATGACAAGTACAAACTGTTCAGACAATGATTTGACAGATCAGGGTATGTACTCCATGACAATAATTAACCATTGACAAAAGTGGTTAGACATTATCTATTCCATGACAAGTACAAACTGTTCAGACAATGATTTGACAGATCAGGGTATGTACTCCATGACAATAATTAACCATTGACAAAAGTGGTTAGACATTATCTATTCCATGACAAGTACAAACTGTTCAGACAATGATTTGACAGATCAGGGTATGTACTCCATGACAATAATTAACCATTGACAAAAGTGGTTAGACATTATCTATTCCATGACAAGTACAAACTGTTCCAACAATGATTTGACAGATCAGGGTATGTACTCCATGACAATAATTAACCATTGACAAAAGTGGTTAGACATTATCTATTCCATGACAAGTACAAACTGTTCCAACAATGATTTGACAGATAAGGGTATATACTCCATGACAATAATTAACCATTGACACAAGTGGTTAGACAGTGTATCTACTCCATGACAAGTACAAACTGTTCACTGATTTGAACACTACCTTGCTAAGATGTTGTTTAGTTACGTATGTTCTGTCACCAATTTTATTCCATTCCTTGCTTGAGTACCTCCAGTCTTTGTACATTTATGCTGGAAAACATTTTACTTCCACTGAATTTTATATTTCTTTCAATAGATTAGAGACTTTATTTTTTTTATTTTTGCATATTTATTTAATCATTTAGCATAGTACATAAATAATGAATTTTGGTTGTGAGTTTTAATAATTTATTTAGAAATTGTGTTGGTTTAGTTTTTTATTAAATTTTTAATAGATGTAGAAGTAGCTGTTTTTCTTATTGTAAATAATGAATTTAAAAAAAAAGTTTTATTTTGTTCTACGTCATTAAAAGGCTCAAACTTAGTCCTGTATACAGGACCTTAGATATATTATAATTATAGGGCTCAACAATCCTATGTCACCAGCATAGTGTTAATACTTCTAGTCATTATGTTCCACCTATTCCATGTTGATCTAGACTTTACAAGTGATCTGAGTTGATTTTATTTATTTTTACCAGAATATTCATATTTGTGATTTATATCTGTCATGCATTTTTTTTAAAATAAAAATAAATAACCAGATGCCAAAGGATAAATTTGTCCCTGCACTGTAAACATAATATATACTGCAAATAAAAAGAAAGGTCTTCGTGCTGAACTTTATGAAAGATTTTTTTGAATTGAAATTCTTGACATTTTTTTCTCTCCAAGAATACATAGTTGTATTTATCACCAATGTAAATAAATGGTGAGTATTCCTTTCTGGCAAGAATTTTATTTGGCTCGCCTTCCACAAGCTAGCACACATTCATTACATACTTAAACATAATTGGGTTATATTATTCATTTTCTTCTGGGTTTTTTTTTTTTTCATTTAACATACACCTGTATAGAATATGCTACGCTAATAGCTTACTATTTTTAGTACAATATTATGTTTTGTGTTCATATGTTTTTCAACTTATCAAACTTATTTTTATTATAGGTTGGTTGGTTACATAATACTATTTTTATACATCAGGGGAAAAAAACGTATTTTCAGTATTTAAATTTTACTGATCTCTGTGGCTTCGCTTTTTTTTTAAAAAAATATTGGTTTGTTAATAAAAACAAATAAGGGGGGGGGGGGAAATAATAATTTTCAATACAATTTACTAAATACTGTAGCTTCTCTGGTCAAGATTTTGGCCTACTTTGTCCTCAATACCTGACCTATTAACAGGGGCATTCACTTCCGTTTTGTTTAGAAGTATTTAAGACAAGCTGCTTGCGGTACCTAGTCGAGTCTGTTATTAAATTATATGCGTATTGATTTGGTTGTTTTTTTGGGGGCCAAGTTTAACATTCCTGGCTAGTTGTGTACCATGTGCTGCTTACAGGTTGCCAAGAGGTACGGGGGTTGGCGTACTTTATTTATCAGCAGGGGGGGGGGGGGGGGATCGTTCAGGAGATATTTTTGGCACTTGTGTCTTTTGGTTTGATGGTGGGGGAGGGGCATGGTGTCAACTAAACCACCTTTTTTGGCACTTGTGTGTTTTGGTTTGATGGTGGGGGAGGGCAAGGTGTCAACTAAACCACCTTTTTGGCACTTGTGTCTTTTGGTTTGATGGTGGGGGAGGGCATGGTGTCAACTAAACCACCTTTTTGGCACTGTCTTGATGGTGGGGGAGGGCAAGGTGTCAACTAAACCACCTTTTTGGCACTGTCTTGATGGTGGGGGAGGGCATGGTGTCAACTAAACCACCTTTTTTGGCACTTGTGTCTTTAGGTTTGATGGTGGGGGAGGGCATGGTGTCAACTAAACCATAATCTGTGTCTTTTAGTTTGATGGTGGGGAAGGGGTAACCTGCGGTGTCAACCCAATCATTTGTCTCTTATAGTTTGAAAAGGGGGAGGGGGTACGGTGTCAATTAAACCATCATTCGCGACTTGTGGATTAGGGGAAGAGTATTTTTGACACAAATGCTATTGAAGGGTTGACTCGGCCAGCAAAACCTATTCAAATTAGACATCCATTTTTACGCTATGATAAAAGCTGACCGACCCAGAACAATTAATGATCTTTGTCAATGTATGCAGCTACTAGCTACGATTGGTTGTGATCGTATTTCAATCACATCACTATTGGCTCGTATTATTTTGCTTGGTTACATTGTTTTTAATTTAACAATAACAACGGTCAAATGTGAGAAGAATAGCGCACCACCTCGTTAAAGTTCCGTACTACACCCACTCAGATGGTCAGATCTTAAATTAGCTGGACAAGACTATGATTAGGGTAGGTGGGTCTTTGAGGATTCGATAATCAGTGAAATTTTTTTTTAAAATTATTACCATCATAAATCTCGAAGATACGTCACACCAAATAATGATTTTACAGTCTGACTCAGAACGATCATTTTTAAAAAATAATCTTAATAGTTTTATATAGGTTTTTCATTTTGTGGCCATCTCCTCATTTATTCTTTCAGTTTCTTAAGGATTTTTCATGTAAGATATTAGGTTTTTTGTTTTTTTTATTTGGAAAACTTGCGGAAATCTCAAGTGAAAAATGAAGAAATACTTTTTTTTTTGTATATAACATAACACAATTTTTGGTTCACATATAAACCTCTTGCAATTACAATGTAAATTTCATGTTTTTTTTTATTGCAGGGGAAACATTTACTTGCCATTTTGGCATTTTTAACAATTGTATTTCATTGTACGTCCATTGTTTTTTTGTTTTTTTAAAGTAGCTCATGTCAAGTGTTGTCGACTACCCACGCCGTTTGTAAGACCACTGTTACCTAATACTGACACATTCTACCCATTTTGTCTGACCACCAGTCATGTGATATCGACAATCTTGATTTACTATTTGTGGCAACTGTACACGCCAGTATTTTATTTTAATGTTATTTCATGTAACATGTATTCTCTCCCCTTGTAATAATAGACCAATCGGTTACTTCTCTTATTTATATTTAGAAAGGGAAATAACCTATTGAATTTAGAAAAAAAAATATGTTCATCAAATTAAGTATTAAAATGGAAAGAAGATTTATAAAAAAAAATTATTAAAGTGTTGTGAATTAGTGAAAATTGTGAAGTTGTGTGACGTTACGTCTGTCTCGGTAATTAATGTTTCGTGTAGTCTCCTCCTTACAACTGTGCTTGTCAGCAAACACATGTAGCTGTAGCCCACACTGTACGGTCTTGTGTTGTCGCTATGTATCGTCAGTCTCCAAAACTTTTTATCGTGTGTTGTGGTATTGTCACTGTTAAAACTCACAGCACATGAGCACTGTTTTAGTTGACACTAGCGTAGGGATTCTCAAACTAGTGTTGCGGTCTGCAACCCCTTGTAGCAGGGATTCTCAAAAACTGGTTTTCCTATCTGCAACCCCTTGTAGCATGGATTCTCAAATTGGTTCTATCTACGACCCCTTGTAGCAGGGGTTTTCAACGTGTTCCTATCTGCGACCCCTTGTAGCAGGGGTTCTAAAACTGGTCCTATCTGCGACCCCTTTAGCAGGGATTCTCAAATTTGTTTTACTATCTGCGACTCCTAGTAGCAGGGGTTTTCTAATTGGTCCTATATGCAACCCCTTGTAGCAGATGTTCTAAAACTGGACCCATCTGCGACCTGTTATAGTAGGGATCCTCAAACCGATGTTCATATTTTCGACCCCTTCTATGTAGAGATATTATAGAAACATTAAAAAATATTGAATTTTTAAACTAAACAGTTATGTCCTTATAGGACCGAAACTCTCATACTCATTTAAACAGCGCTGCTTACATAGCAAATTTAAACCTTATTTTAAGTTTGCACAAAGTAATAAATATTAAATAGTGAAGTTCAAAGTCTCACTTTTTACCTATACAAATATATACGTTGTCTAAAACCACGACGGTCGCTTTAAATATAGTGGCTCCTCGACGTTAGTCTATAGTCGCGATGAATTACAATTAAACCTGTCGGAAGCATCAACATGTATTGTAAATTCAGTATTTGTCCAAGTTACGTTCTTTAGGTACCCCTGGTTCTAACGTCTTGGTAACTGCGTGGTTAGAATAGATGCATTTTTTTTCTTTTTTTTACACGGTATTTTCAGCTTAAAACATGGTACCCACTGTTACATCTAGGTTTATGAACTAAACTTTAAAAAAAATGTTCACACAATGTTACTATACATAGTTATATATAGACACATACAACTGTCTTAGAGATCATACTTAAGTGATTTCTAATGTCTCATTTGTTGTAATGATGTATACTTTTGTAACGGCACTTTCGATGATACTAAGTTTCAACGATTTTGTGATTTATATTTTTGTTCTCTCATATACAGAAAGCATTATAATAAACATATGTTTGAAAACGTGTTTGGTTTACAATCTGTTCAATGAAGCGTGCTTTGTATTGGTTTATGCATTGAATTGTGTGAAAAGCACACACGAATTCGATTAAATAAAAAAAAAGTCCTTAAATTTTTTTATTTACGTTTATTAGGAAAGCGATTAATGAAAGGTTACTAAAATTTGTGAAACATTACTGGTCCAATTTATTTTATGAAAACCCTAAATGTAAGCTTTCGAACCTGAAGGTCCACGAGGCAGGTGGAGTAGAGTTCATGTGTTTTAGTGACCTGAATGGAGAGGGTGGTCAGCACTATGCCCAGCCGCCTTTACCTTCCCTAACGAGAGTCAGGTACCAAAAAGAGCTGGGTGGGCTCAGGGACTTCCTACTATCGCGAACCGGAATCGAACTCGATGAAAACCTTGTGTTCACCGGAAGCTAATTTGGTATTCTATTTACCATATTTAATTGCAGAATACCGATATTTCCATTTTTCTACACATTTTCCAATCAAAGATTTTAATTTTTTATTCTTTAAACTTATTTTCTAAAAAAAAATAATTAAAAAAAAAAAAATTAAATAAAAAAATGAAGAAATCTACATTAACTAGAAGAACATATCAAAGCGAAATTCACGATCATCAAAGGTATAACGAACCCCCTCAGTCAGTATGTGGTGTGGGGGGGGGGGAGTTAAAACTATTACCAGACTACATTCTTGATTTAAAAAAAAAAGTGATCTTTCGTTCAGTACGGGGTTAAGAAGGGGGGGGGGGGGGGGAAGAGAAAGAAAACGGAGTAATGTTGGAAAAAGTCGGGGAATGTGATAGAGTTAAAAAAAAGGGGCGGTAACTAAGTTTTAAAAGAAAGAAACGAGATTTCTCGCAGCCGCAACAAAAAAAAAATTGCATTCTTCTCCGACAGGGGCTAAGTGGGTCCAAATTCGTTTCTAAGCTGAAAACCAGTGTAAGCGTGTGGCGCACTGGCTAGGTGCTGATGGCTTGACATCGTTTCAAGTCGTTTCACAAACTTTGATTAGTGCGACCTGTAACTAGGCACTTGCCGGCTGCCGGTTAAGTTTTTTTTTTTACCACCAATAAATAACCGGAGAATTTGCGGTGAATTTTAAAAAAAATTAAATAAATAAATAGCCGGCATGATTTGCCGGCTCATGGTGGCGTTACTTAACAATCATTATTAAAAACAGGCAAAA